TTTTTAACTTTCATAGGTGGCTCTGTAATCCCAAGATTGATACCAAAACAAGAAAGTGGGCTATCGAGGGTCTAGCTTATCTGACCAATGATGCTGACGTGAAAGATGACTTTGTTGAGGACGAGATTGCACTGAAGGCCATGTTTGACCTGTCAAAGGTAAACAAATTGAAACAAAAAGACAGAAAAACAAATATAGTATATCAGATTACAGATAAATAACCTCTCTCCATTCACTGTGTTTTAGTCTACAGACAAGACAATCATCTATTCAGTAGCTTGCACCCTGGTTAACTGCACCAACTGCTATGACAAGAAGGATATCCTACCTGAGCTGGTTCAACTAGCAAAGTTCTCAAAGCAACATGTGCCGGAGCAACACCCCAAGGTAAAAGAGGGAGAAAAGTCAACTAAACCATTGTCTTACACAGAAGATCAGAACATATCATTTGACATATGTAGAGCAGGTTATGAAACACATATGAAGTACACACTTTGCATACTTTTTGTTCCCAGGACAAGAAGGACTTTATTGATCAGAGAGTGAAAAGGCTCCTGAAGGCTGGTATCACTTCAGCTCTTGCTGTCATGGTAAAGGCAGACAACTCCATCCTGACCGACCAGACCAAGGAGATGCTGTCAAGGTGTGTGTGTGTGTGTGTGTGTGTGTGTGTGTGTGTGGTGTGTGTGTGTGTGTGTGTGTGTGTGTGTGTGTGTGTGTGTGTGTGTGTGTGTGTGTGTGTGTGTGTGTGTGTGTGTGCGTGCGTGTGTGTGTGTGGCAAGTTTATTTATATAGCACTTTTCAACACAAGTGTTAACATTCATCTTGATGCCTCCATAAATGGATATATTGTAATAAATGATAACTAAGCCCATTCTATATATTTGTTCGTCCTTAGAGTTTTCTTGGCTTTGACAGATGATCCCAAAGATCGTGGTACTATTGTAGCCCAAGGTGGTGGAAAGGTTAGTCATAGGTTTATCAATTGAAACCATGAAATAATTTATGTTAGCATGTTTCTGAGAATTGGATAAACTGCTTGTTGCAAAACATCCCACTGTTGTTCACCTCTTACTCTATCCCTAGGCTTTGATACCACTTGCTCTGGAAGGGACAGAGGCTGGGAAGACAAAGGCCAGCCACGCCATTGCCAGGATTGCAGCTATTTCCAACCCAGAAATTGCTTTCCCTGGTGAGAGGGTAAGAACAACATTTACTTGTTTGTCCACCTTGATATAATAGTGAAGGAAAGGGAACAACAATTTGAGATAACATTTTATATCCCCTTAACTACACACTTCTTACACTTTTGACATTGTATGATTCTTTGTCTCTCCAATTACTGGGATATTGAACCTTGCTGTTGGTGGTATATTTTATTATAACTAATGACAGTTGTTTGTTCTAACATTCAGTATGTACTATGCATGATTTGGTATTATTAGGTCCCATGTCATGGCCATTTCTACTGATCATAATTCCATTGTTGAGGTAAACTAAAATATATTTATACTGTACAATTTTCCAAACTCACATTGGTTTCTCATACAGCATCTCTGTAAAGTATGTGTATTCACCGGTATTCACTCTCTGTCCTAAACGGCTTGTTGGAGCTCCTGCCCCCCCCCCCCCCCCCCCCCCCTCCCTGTGAGCCCAGTGTGCTCTGATTGGTCAGGACGTTGAAGCTCGTTGCTGCTCGCAGCTGCTGCGAGGAGCAGGCTTCCAGGTCGGCGATACAGCGAGAACAAGCGAAACTCATCCTGAGCACACACAAACACTCACAGCCAAAGTAAAAACAATAAGTGTGGCTTGATATTGAGTAAGAAAAAGGTTTATAACGCTGTGAGAATGGGTCTGCGGAGAGCATTTCTCCGCGATCCCAATGTAGTAGCCCGAAAAACGTTTGCATTTAAACAGTCGTGATAGATACCTTGTTTGTTTTAAACATCATAAATACACAAACAACAATGAATACTTAGAGGTTGTGTACCCGAATATCCCGCTGGTCCAAACAAAGTAGGAACAGCATCGTTCTTTAGTGCCCTACGCTGTACATATCTGGCATGAATCGCTGAAAGGTTTGGGAAGTTTTGTTTCGTGAAAGGCTGGCAGAGGGTGTGGCCTCTGGGTATTCACACGTCAGAGTACCCAGGAAGAAAACATTGGAAAATGAGAAATCTCCAACGAGGCGTTTTGGGGAGGTCTTTTCTGTGTTAGAGTTTTACTCCCTACAGGGTGTACTTTGAGGGTTTTTGACTCTGCAGACGGTTTACATGCATAAAAACCTTCATAACACACAAGGGGATGGGTAATAACCGGAAAAGCATGACATGGGACCTTTAAACGTAGTTCAACAAATTACTTTTTAAAAATCAATCCTACAACTTTCTTGTTTGTCAGGTGTATGAGGTGGTGCGGCCTTTAGTCGGCCTCCTTCACACAGACAAAGACGGGATGCAGAACTATGAAGCTCTGCGAAGCCTCACCAACTTGGCTGGTTTCAGTGAAAAACTAAGGTAACATGTTATTATGTTCACTGTGATGTCACTAGCTCATTTCCTACAAGTGCATTTCCTACAGCTTGAACAATTTGTGTTATTTTGACCTTTAACCTTGACTTCATCTGTTTTATAGAGTGAAGATTTTAAAAGAGAAAGCTATCAGTGACATTGAAAACTACATGTTTGAAGATCATGACCAGATCAGACAGGCTGCTACTGAATGCATGTGCAACCTAATTTCATCTAAAGAGGTGAGGACGGAAAAAATAGCTAAAAACCTTTCATTGTAAAATAGCTGCATCAACATAGGAAACCAGTTTCCAACAGGTGTCAAACTTTTGTTTCTTAGGTCCAAGAGCGTTTTGTGTCCGATGGCAATGATAGACTGAAGCTGCTGGTACTGCTTTGTGGCGAGGAGGACGAGAATCTTCAGATCGCTGCAGCTGGAGCTCTCGCCATGCTCACTTCTGCTCAGAAGAAGGCCTGCAACAAAATAACCCTTGTGGTATGTATGATAGCATTCAGTAGTACTGTAGGATAAAGAAAAGTATAACTTCAATTTCACATGTTGTGTCATCATCGTGACCAAGCTAAGACAAAGCTGATGACATAATCTCTGGGATATTTCTCACACGTTACAAAACTTCTCAGAATGCAGAGTTTACTCCCTAATGGTGTGTCTGAAGTGTCAATCAGGGGAAATCCCCTCAACGGGAAATAACATTTGCTGAGTCATACCACACCATCTTACACATAAATCCATTGCTAAGAATTACACAAAATATATCATATCCAAACTAAAAAACATTTTTGACAAAGATTTCGCATAATTTACAAGTGTAACTGATTGCTCTTTCCTGACAGACCACGCAGTGGCTTGAGATTCTGCAGAGGTTGTGTATCCACACCAACCCCAATGTACAGCATCGTGCCCTTGTTGTTGTCTACAACATGCTCGACTCAGACGACAGTGAGCTGGCCAAGAAGCTGATCGAGTGTGAGCTGCTGGAAATCTTGTCAGTGATTGGCAAGGCAGAGAACAATCCCAAGAGGCAGCAGGCCATCGATGCGGCGCGCACATGCCTGGTCAAAGCTATGGATCTTGGTCTCATCAAACCGTTCGCGACCCCCTCTTAAAATGCTTTCTACGAGGAAAAAACCCAACAGTGGACATTCTTCTTTATTTCCTTTAAATACAGACTTGTTTCCAAATGGTTTTCTCATTGAAGGAAAAAAAGAATTCTCCAACCTGGCTCTAAAGATAATGTCTCACAATATAAATCACTGTTTTTATTTGTCATTTTTTACAGAGGGTGTTTGTTGCGTAGGTAGTAGAAAATGCACACATGGTGATTTCCCCTGACCATGCATTTTTTGTCTTTATTTGAAGATTTTAGAAAATGTATTATTTCTATTTATGTTGAACGTTAACTGTGAATGAATGATTAAATACTGAGCAGTTCGCGTTTTTGCTTCACTATTTGCTAAAATATACACTTTAAATAATCAAGCGAGAGCCAGGGTTGCCAATGCCATGTGTTTTTTTGGAATGTTGTAGCATCATGAAGGAAATAATTTATTTCCAGTGGCAACAACAATGGGATGCAGACAGCATAGGAGGTCAATTCTACAACATTCAACTGTCAATTAAATCAGGTGGCACTGGCAGAGTTTAAACTAAAGGATGACATCAAATTAGCTGGGTCATTATCGACTGGCAAGCAGTTTTTTTACACCAAATGTGTACACTGTGGAATACTGGACAGTGTCCAGCATGTCCTGATAAACTCTATTTTATCACCAAACGCTGTGTGGTGGTTGACCGCAAAAATCCTGACAAAGCCCTGCATATACCATCAGTGGAGGATGATTCATGTGGATTAATATGTTTGGACCGGAGGGTGAGGGTGACAAACTTAAGTTTCACTTTACTTTTTTATTTCAATTCCAAACTTTCTTGGTCATGAAGAATACAGTATATATTTCTCTGTTGTCCACGCTCAAGAAGCATAAAACAACACCATAAGAGCACGGTGCAAAGTTTTCTATGCGTTTAGATATGGCAAGCCGATTTAGCTTTTATTAATTTCTGGAGGATATTAAAAAATAAATTCTTACTAGTAAGAACGCAAATTCTTGATATCAAAAATTCTATTCTCACTAATAATAATGTTTATTTATTTTACAATTGTTATAATTCAATTTGTATTTATAACTAACCATTGATATCAAAAAAGGATTTTGAATTAGTTCAAATTGTGTTTCCTGATATTAACAATTGGCATTTCGACTAGTTGTTGAAATTGAATTCTTGATATCAGAAATGGGTATTTTGACTAGTTCAAATGTAATTGTAACTCGTAACAATCAGCAAATAGTATTTGAACTAGTTCTTATTATGCATCCATGTAGTTCGCTGTATAAACAACTGTAGTTTCCCCACAGCAGACGCACATTTATGACGTCCACTGCTGGCGCATCATTAATGCGTCCGATAGTGTAAGTGCAGTCGGATTCTCAAAGCACTGCGGTCTCTTTTCCTAAATCCTTTTGAGTTCTCATATCCACTGTTCCTTAACCCCGTGACGTTTCACACAGAGATCAAGGAATAGTAGATAGGACCATTCGACTGCAACCCCAGTCATGCCAACTAGAAAAGGCTGTGTCCTGAAATGTGAGGGGAAATGTCGATTGTTTGCCTTACCGAAGGCAGAACCACGAAGAAGTCAGTGGTTGAAATTTATTTTTAACAATGTTCCTTCAACGGTTCGAAATACTGTACTGTGTGCCCGGCATTTCTCGGACGACAGCTTCACAAACCTTGCACAGGTTGAAGCCAGATATGCAATGCGTCTAGTACTGAAGGGCGATGCTGTTCCTACTTTGTCTGGACCAGCGGGAGATTTGGTTGCACAACCTGTAAGTATGCATTGTTATTTGTGTATTTGTGATGTTTAAAACACACAAAGTATCTACCACGACTGTTTAAATGTTTAAACGTGTTTCGGGCTGCTAAGCCATTGACACAGTGCTAACTGGGCTACATAAGTTGCTAGCGTTTTGTTAGAGTTAGGAAGGATGGCCAACATATGGGACTTTAAGACAATAGTGTGCTGGATATGTATAACGTTGTGTTCATGTTACTTTTGTGAAACGTAATGTTGTTTGGCATGTGTTAGAAGCTTCAGAACCAGTAAGTTGCCTTCACAAGATACATGGAGGGCAGCTTCAGTAAAGTTACTGGTTATAATACTGTTGATGTGGCACGCCCGCGAGAAAGATACGATGTTCATGCTATACTTTATTTCAGAATCAATGCTGGATATATGCATATTTGGATATAACTTGGCATAGTGTGGCTTTTGTTTACGTTAGCATGCATCGCTAACACTCAGACCATATGTTCTATGGGAGGGACTTTGAGTTGAGTTTTTATATATTATGGCAGTTTTTGTTATAAACACTGAAGAGACAAGTTATGTGCTGTATCAGAAACAATCCGCCACCTGTTTTGGCAGTAGTATGGCGTTTATTTACATTACCAATTAGCCTATCCCTTACACTCAGAGCTAACACTACTCTGTACTGAAGAGAATATGTTTAAAGTAGGTGGATACATTGTAGTATTGCAACTAGGGCTGTCAAGTTTATGCGTTAATAACGCGTTAACGCAAAAAAAAATTAACGCCACTAATTATTTTAACGCGATTAACGCATGTGTATTTTTTTTCTCGGCCGCCCCGTAGTTTCAGAGCGCATCGAGTTTAAAATACCATCTACACGCTGATGCTGACAGCCCCGCTCCTGCCGTCCGCTTGTGGCAGACCACACTTCCACGCTCACCGGCAGGCACCGACTGGCCATCGGGAGGACCGGGAGGGTGTGTGTATGTGTGGCCTGAGCGAGCGAGAGAGAGACCTTACGTGCATTGTTGTTGTAAGCATCTGGTGCTAGCTAGCTGCGCTAACGGATATAAGGATGTTTAAATGAAAACAGAGGAGCGACATTTCGCCACAACTGCGCCGAGCACTTGACTTTATGCAGGAAGCCAGACAGCGGGACATTGTACGAAAAGTCAGCACACTCAGCACGGATAGTGCGCGCAACATGATTGCAGCGTCCAGGCAGCTCCCGTTCGAGCATATGCCTTGAGTTGCACATAGCTCCAACGATCCATCTCACACACACGCACACACACACACACACACCATTTGTATTGTATTATTGTATGAGAGAGGTTCCAGGTTGAATTGAGGCGAATATTTGTAATGTTGTTGTTGTGTTTAATATTCATGAGGATATTTGTCATTGTTCAAATGATAATAAACATTAGCATAAAGCATATTTGTCCACTCATATGTTGATAAGATTATTAAAAACTTGAAAGATATTCCTCTAAGGTACATTTAGAACGGATAAAAAATGTGCGATTAATTTGTGATTAATCGTGATTAACTATGGACAATCATGCGATTAATCGCGATTAAATATTTTAATCGCGATTAAATATTTTAATCGACTGACAGCCCTAATTGCTACCTTTACATAGATAATAAGTTGTAGATCATTTGAGTACTTCCACCTCTGCTCAGACATAACACTGTACAGGCGATCCAATACAATAGTTATGATTCAGTGACAACGTTATAACTCTCCTATGTAATAACCAACAACACAGATTTTCAGGTAAATATCAGTTTTTGCATCTATGTTGTGAAACATTTTGGGACGTCAGAAGTGATTTTCACATTGCAGTTACTAATCATGAATACAAAATTGAGATGATGTTGTTGTTTCCTTGTAACAGGTCAGCCAATTTCAAAAGTTACCTAGAAGGAGGGATGCTGCTTGTCAGACCGACATTCTACACAAACGTACAGTTCGCACACAGTTGTCTTTGCGTACCTTTAGTAATCCATATCGAAGTACTGGTTAGTAGCTGTCTTATATGCACGTTTTGGTTAAGTTTGGTGTTGCTGCCTTGAGTTGTTGTGCTTGCAATTACAATGATTGTTTTATTATTATTTATTCATTGTAAAATGCAATTATCTTACAGCTGTCCAGACTATAGATTCCAGCAACTTTGATGTATGGACATCAAATGTTCTCGAGGCAGCGCCCTCTTTTATATCCACCCCTACAGAGAGACCATCAAAGAGACGTCGTGTGGACCCTGAGGAAGAAGAAGAAGAGGAGGAGGATGGCAGCTTCTCCGTGGTGGCTTCAGACGGGCTGGATGATACCTATGACCCAGCAGAGTCTGTCACAAATGATACAGAAAAAACAGACATGTTGTGAGTTTAACAAATATCATGTGTGTGAATTTGTTTCTATCTTTAGCGATGTCTTTGACAAACGCTATAAAAAAAATGTCTTTCTTTGTTCAGTAATTACAGCCATATTTTAAGAATGTAATGTTTAGTACTTTAAAAGCTTTAGATAGTTTGTGGTATTGATCATAGGTATTTGTAGGAATGTGTTGGTGGCATGCACAGGCTGCACTGCTGCATGATTCAGCTTTACACTGGCAGTTCATTCTGCGTGTAGTCCATGGCAATGCTGTCGCAGAGGGTAGGGAAACTAGCATAAACACCTCGTTGTTTGATGACATTGGCCCTTTCTAATTTCTCTAAGGGATCAGGATACAGCCGTTCTGTATTTTATTATGTGAAGCACTAAATGGTTTTAGACAAATATCGACTCTTTGTAGATATCTACTAAACTAAAGCATACAAATAAAGAGAGTAATGTAGGCCTGTTATACTGAGTGATATATATTATACACACTGCTCTGCTTTCTGCACGGACCTCACAGCTGTTCTCACTGTAAACACCGCGTCGCGATGAAAGCAGTTAATAAAATAATATCCAGAGGATGCATGCAGAGCTGTCATTGGCTGAGATAAGTCCGGCCGTGCGTCACGACTCTTTTAAACATCTCTGTTGTCGGAAATACATCCGGAGGATCCGCGGACTGGCGCGGAGGACCCATCAGTGTATCCTCGATTATAGCTCCTCCAGAGAGCCTCCTAGATGCTCGATCCTCGAAGTGCATTTAGAGAAATTAGATGTCCTTCAACATGACGAGCTGAAATCCATTTCCGGGTCACTACCTGAGGACCGAGGATTCGAGGAGAAAGGGCCATGCAGTTTTAACAACAACACAAACCAGTGAAGAAGGAAATGTATTACCTTAATGAATATGAAGTATCATTTATTTAAATACTTTTAGACTAGATAAAGACACACACACACAAAGCATCGTAGATCCGTCTACATACTCAGCCGCCCTCTCAGGATACTTCGTCAGTAAAAAGAAGGAGAGGCGTTTGTGTTTGTTTGCTTTCACAGAAAACAACAAAAGCATTTAGATAAGGTAAAGAAAAATAGAGGCAATCTCGATATTAGATCACACCACTTACACTACTTCTGGCACCACACCCTTCTTCGAACTCTGCCTTTACTTTGATCATGCAACCTCTTTTAAAGTCAACTTTAATTTTGACACTATTTAAACATAAGGTTTTGTGACTGCATCTTTCACGGTTGGGGCGTTATAACAGTGACTGCTCACAGCCAATCAGATATAGAAACATGTGGTTGATTCCTGAAAACCTCTTCTGTGGTAGTTCTGCTACAGGAGGTGTCTCATTTGCAATTATGACACACACACACACACACCCATCAATGCAAGAGGAAGTAAGGTGCATTGCTCTGTAGGGCCCAAGCTGTGTGATGGGGCATAACAACTCTCTTTCTTTTTTTTTTACAGTGGTAAAGAACACATTCCCTATAACATCAATACATACATAGTGTATGAGACCTGCATCATGGAGCTTTTCGAAATGTGTCCTGTGTGCCAGCGAGTGTGTGATGTTCAAACCCGAAGGATGGGTACATTTCTATCAGTGGAGCAGCTGTGCCCTCATTGTCAGTTTTCCAGACTGTGGAATAGCCAGCCTATTGTACGGAGTACTCCAGCTGGGAACCTACAGCTTTCCACTTCAGTGTACGTCAATGGAGAGTCTTTCTTCAAACTTGAAAAGGTAAATAAACAACAGGTATACGTTTTTTTTAAATAGTTGAATATGTCAAATAATGTTGTTGAATTATGTAAAGACTTGTTTCTATGAAAATCCATGAACTGCTTTTGCAGAAACCTTTATTTCCATCTATTTTTTTTAAAACCCCCTTTAGGTCTTGAAAGCAATAAACCTACAGATTTTCGAGTACGACACCTTCCTAAGGCATGCCAAAATGTTCATTGAGCCAGCTATCGTGTCAAACTTTAAGACATCACAGGAAATGATGCTTCGGCGGCTCAGTGAAGAGGACAAGATTATACCTGGCGGTGACTTGAGGGCAGACTCTCCTGGTAATTATATTCTAAACATTGGAAAGGTCAAATGCCCCACACTTCAATCAGAAATAGCATTCATCATACAGAGTAATGTAAAGATTGTACAATTATTTTCACAGGCCACTCTGAAAGGTCAGGCAGCCACACCACGATGGACCTCAAGACCAACAATGTTGTTGACATCCCGTTGGTTAAGGTGAGTGGAAAATTAAATATAAACCTTTTTTTAAGTTTAGTTTCACACGGTTTGCACATGTCATGCATTTCAATAAAATGTCTTTATTTATGTATATTTCGTATGTTTTCTGACAGAGCGATGAGGTTGGTGGAAGCTGTCAGATGGAAAAAGAAGGTCTGGAAAGGGGTCTGGCGTTGTTGCAGGAGCATGGTGTGACTCTGGTTTGCATTATCAATCACCGTTGACCCTTAATACAGAAATTCAATGTGTAAACGAAACATTCCTTTTTTTAACGTTTGCACAGGTTGCCTTGATGACTTGATGGCCCTCATCTTTGATGAAAACTTTGTGGACCCGGCACCATTCAAAGAGGAGATTTTGAAGGTCACCATCACAGAGGACCTGTGTGCTCAGGACGAACGGCCTGTCAAGGAGGAGGTCATTGAAAGCTTTGTCACCCAAGTCAAGACAGAGGCTTTCTGAATCCTGCATAAAGGTTTTGGGGCTCAGGAAACTGCAGATCCTGAGTACTACACGGGCAGGAATGATGACTGATCCTGGGTCTCAGGAAGCCCTAGCACCAGCTCACAAAACCCTTTAAGGCTGGATACTGGTTACGCCTGCAAGAATTGCTCGGTCAAGCTACATGTATTATTTTCTGGGGACAGTGAACCTTTTTTTGTAGATGACTATGACGAAGGTAACTCCTTCACTGAGGACTGACAGCTTCGGGCCTTGTACTATTGCACATGTGCTTTTATTTTTGAAAAGTGTTTCCCTTTCCCAATGTCTGTTACTCCTGATTATGTTCACCTTGTGCCCTGTGTTGTCTCCTCCCCCCCACCTGTGTCTAATTGCTGATTGGTGTGTGGGTATTTAGGCTCTGTTTCCCTGTCTGTGATGGCTGGGAGTGTGTGTGAGATCCTTGTGGCTGGTGACTGTGCTCACGGGAACACAAGATTGAGGCTGTGTCCCGTGCTCGAGTTTAATAAATGCCCACACCGGGTTATATTTTTGGACGTTCTGCCTCTGCCTCCTTGCTTGGTCGGGCCGCTCAATTGTCAGCGTCACAATGACCGAGACAAGTTGTAAAGAGGGACAAAAAAGGTAAAACACTGCAGTTTGAACTTCCATTTGGAGTTATGACAATAAAGGCTTTACAGTTTCTATAAAATGTGTCATGATTATTTATGTTTCATAGATTCAGCAGCTGTAGATTAAATGATGATGCGATGTGAAATATAATACTTACTACTTACTACAACAGGGATGTCCAAACTACGGCTCGGGGGTAAAATGCGGCCCGTGAGCCATTTATAATTGGCCCTCATCAATTTCAAAAAGTATAATGAAATATGGCCCACAAATTAAACTTGTGCTTGTCATTTATTGTACTTCTTAAATGTAATATATATATATATATATAAACATATATTACTCCGTAGTAGGCTACTCATGTGTTAATAAGCCAATTTTTCGAATAAATTCAGTCAATTAAAGTTTAAAACAATTTCTAACAAATCTAAGTTGATAAGAAAATAGCCCAATAACTTATTTATATAACAAACTTGAAATATACCCTTCATATTTCCTCTTATTAAGCAATCTGAGGCTCCTGTTTTAAGGAATGAGCTGCCAACTAAACAAATGAAACCCTATTGAGAGCTGTGACTGTGATGGAGGCTGTTTTCTTAAAGCATATTCAAGTAACAAGCATAATTTACCTACATTTGATTGATTTAACTTACTTATAACAATGACTGTAAATTCCACATTGTTGGTCAAATAATATTTTACATCTTTGTAGTGTGTGTGTATGTGTATGTGCTCTATAGTGCACTGGAGTCTGTTGTTATGCCCCTGTGTGTGTGTGTGTGTGTGTGTGTGTGTGTGTGTGTGTGTGTGTGTGTGTGTGTGTGTGTGTGTGTGTGTGTGGTGTGTGTGTGTGTGTGTGTGTGTGTGTGTGTGTGTGTGTGTGTGTGTGTGTGTGGCCTACCATTACTATACTTGTGGGGACCTAAATCTGTTTACACAGTCACGTGTGGGGACTCGCCTCCCTTATGGGGACAAATTGGAGATTCCCATGAGGGGAATCATTAATTTTCGGGTGAATACTTGGTTAGGTTTAGGATTAGGGTAAGGGTTAGGGTTAGGCATGTGTTGGTTATGGTTAAGGTTAGGATAAGTCTCCAGGAAATGCATGTAAGTCAATGTAATGTACCCTGAAGTGGTGTGTGTGTGTGTGTGTGTGTGTGTGTGTGTGTGTGTGTGTGTGTGTGTGTGTGTGTGTGTGTGTGTGTCTGGTTTTGTTCGGTCCCCCCGTGCGTAATTAGCACATCGGATACAACCTCAGCACCCCCACTCAAAATTCCCTTCCCATCTCTGGTCTCACATACTCTCACAACAACACACGTCACCAAGATGGCCGTCACTACTGTCTTGTCAAAAAAGTGATTGGCTACCCTCACTATCTATCACCACAATGAAACACGTCCATGCAAAGCTGCCTGCCTGCCTTCCTTTGATTCTCTCTGAACTGCCTGATATTTTTAATGTTTAATGTCAACCATTTGTGCAGATAGCATGAAGTAGAAAAGATCGCCGATGCTAATGTAGCGTTAGCATTTCTCCCCTGGGCTTAAATGGTGTATTATCGATAGAATGATCACACCGGTGTGACAGTACTCTTCAAAGGGTTCAAGAAATATGACTACTACTCTTAGTTACTGTTTAACATTTTGGGTTAATTCATGTTAAGGCTAATAAAAATTACAAGGCTAAGACTGTAATGCTAACTAACGTGCTTGCTACTAGCTAGGTAGCTAACTTGATCCAGCCAGCCACTCCTGTCCTGGTCCTTTCATCAGACGGGAAGCGAAAGAACGAACAAGACCCATTGCTGGTATGATAACAACCTGGTACTAAGCACACAGGCATCTTGTTAAAGTGATCTTATATTAGCTATCTCTTATATTTACTGGAGGAAAACAATTGTGACATCAGTTATGACATCACTTACTTACTCTGGGATTTGTAGTCTTTCTAGTTGCGTATTTTTCATAGTCTTATATTTCAACAGTTTTAATAATAATAATAATAAATTCGATTTATAAAGCACCTTTCATTGCTCACAGCAATCCCAAGGTGCTACAGGAGGCATAATAAAAACAAACAAAATAAACAACAATTTTATCAAAAGCTTTTTTTAAAAGAAAGGTTTTTAAGCCTTTCTTGAAGGTGTCAGTGGTCTGTGGAGTCCTCAGGTGGTCTGGGAGAGAATTCCACAGAGGAGGATTAGCTGCACAGAAAGCCCGATCCCCCATTGTGCGGAGTTTGGTCCTCGGGGGGCGAAGCCGATGGTTAGTTGTGGAGCGGAGGTTGCGTGTGGAGGTTTGAGATGTGAGAAGTTCCTTCAGGTATGGAGGAGCGTTCCCGTGGATGCATTGATGGGTCAGTAGTGCGATCTTGTATTCAATCCTGAAAGAGACAGGAAGCCAGTGGAGGGAATGAAGAACGGGTGTGATGTAGTTGTATTTTCTCACCCTCATCAGGATCCTAGCGGCACTGTTCTGTACATATTGGAGCTTCTGAAGGCTCCCGCTAGGAGTCCCGGTGAGGAGAGCATTGCAGTAATCGAGCCTTGAGGAGACGAAGGCATGGACCATTTCTTCAGCATCTGACAGGGAGAGTGTGGGACGGAGTTTTGCAATGTTCCTGAGGTGGTAGAAGGAGGTTTTGCACAGGTGTTTGATGTGGGTGTCAAAGGTTAGATGTCTGTCAAATCTTACACCCAGGTTTGTAACTGCTGTGGAGAGGGGTATGTTTTGTCCAGAAAAGGTAATGTGGGTTATGGGGGATGCCAACTAAAATAGCTTCTGTTTTGGAGCTATTTAGTTGCAGGAAGTTTTCTCGCATCCAGGCCTTTATCTCCTCAATGCAGGTGTTAAGGGATGTTGATGGGAGCGGTGACGATGATGGTGACTGAGGAAGCATGTGGGATAGAGTCTGTCTTTATATATAGCTGCGTGTCATCAATGTGTCAGCAATGGAAGGATATTCCATGCGTGCTGATGACACGGCCAAGGGGCAGAGTGTACAGGGTGAACAGAGTGGGCCCAAGGACCGACCCTTGAGGGACACCACAAGTAACAGTGTGTGTCTGGGACCTCGCACCTCCCAAGGAGACGTACTCTGTTCCTACAGACAGGTAGGACTGGAACCAGCTCAGGGCGGAGTCAGAGAGTCCGGTGGTGTGTTCGAGGCGCTGAAGGAGAATGTTATGGTCGACAGTGTCGAATGCTGCAGTCAGATCCAGGAGGATGAGGAGAGATGGGGATCCAGTATCAGCCGCCATCAACAGGTCGTTTGTGATTTAGAGCCTTTTATTGTCATTATACACAGAGTATAACGACATTCAGAGTGCAACTCTGTCCCGGTGTGCAAAAAATACAAACAAATACATAACACTAAAAAACACGGCAATAGGACAGACAACATACAATCATACGGGGGAATAAATAGTTAAAAATATTGATATAAAAAATAGTATATAAAGTGCATTTAAAAGTGTGTGACCCTGACCAGAGCTGTTTCAGTGCTGTGGGCGGAACGGAAACCGGACTGGAATTTTTCAAAGAGGCCGTTTAATTGTAGATGGTCCTGAAGCTGGGCGGCAACTACTTTTTCCAGCACCTTGGCTAGAAATGGGAGGTTGGAGATGGGCCTGTAGTTGGCGAGGATATCTGGGTCTAGGGCAGTGGCGTTTTCTCCTGGAGGCCAAGGGAAGCCAGGCTTCCCCTGTTTTTTCGGATTGTAGTTATAATTGTAATAAATAAATAAAAACACTTCGTTTGGTTTCGGTAATTTTTCTGTGCTGTGTGTTGTTGCCGGCCCGTCTCTCCCCCATTCTCATTGAGTATTTTACAAATAGTGAAACAGCGCCCCTCTACATGTTATGGTGAAACAGTAGATTGCACTCTCTGTTGCGAGAGGAGGCCAGCCGAAATTGGCTTCCCTTGGTGAAAAAAAATGGAGGGATTGACCAATCAGCCAAGGCTCACGTGATGCCCCTGCCAACCTGTGATTAGTCAGGGCCATGCCAAGGGAAGACCGAGGCGGCTGGCTTCCCTTGCCTCACAATCCAATCAAATCGCATCAATTTAGTGTTGCAGTGACGCGTCCTAAAACCCGGAAGTAAGCCGCGCTCGGTTTCCCTCGACAGAAAGGCAGTGGGATTTCTCCATAGGATTTTGGAAAATAGCTTGAAATAAGGTCAGTGGATAACGAACCTGTTAGATAAATGCATGTTTTGTTAAGTCGAATAATATCCACATGTCTACCCTACTTTTATAATTTTCGAATCATAAATCTAATCGGTAGAAGATAGATAGCGTCACTGCATCACTCTCACCGCCGTTAGAAAGTAGCAAGCAATTGAAGCAAGTGCAATTATGGAGGGTGGAGATGTGGAGTATTTAATCAAAAAATAATTGTAAACTTCCGCTACAGCAGCAACAACAAATACAATCTGATGACAGGCCGATGCCCAAACTGGAGCTGTGTACAGCGAGGAAAAAAGGAGCGAATCGAACGTAAAACGTTAAAGGTCTCCTGATTTAGTTTGTGAATGAATGCTTATTAGAGTTTCGGCTGGAGAGTGCGTGCGGACCTGTCGGTTAGATAACAGGCGTGTGTAAGTCCTGCATCTGTATGATACAAATGTGTGTAAAATGATACCGGGTGCTGTAATCACTCATCTGATTACGTTATTACATTGACCACCACACCCCCGACCCAAAAGAAAGGACGTATTATTGGCTTCCCCTAATTTTTTTCCCACGCCACGCTACTGGTCTAGGGTGTTTTTTTTTTTAGCCTAATTTATAACGCCGTGCTTAGGATTCACGTGGGAAGGTTGCTTACGTAGTAGAAATCCAAAAAATAGGTACAGAAATCTTCCGACATTTTCCGATTCACCAAACATTGCGTACCGGCGAGGAAAGTGCGTACAGCACTTCCTACGCCGGTTTCCCTTTATAAATCACAATCGACTCGAAATGCGGTGCAGCTTTTGCGGGCTTCACATAACGCCCATATCAATAGTCAAAGAAACGCCCATTCATTCATTCATTTTGACTGACTTTATGAAGAAGATAGCAGGAAATGACGACAGAACAGCTAAAAAAGACATCTCACACCGTGCAAGATTTTGGTTATTTTGGGGAGGTCGAGATAAATCATATTGTTTGGTGGATGCAGGTCGAACCAGAGTAGCAGCATGGAGGTCGGATCGTCACCAAAATAAATAAATAAGTGGTCCGAAAAAGGTTAATGACAAAAAAAATACACTTCCTCAGGCAGTGTATTTGTACCGGGGACAGGAGACACCCCCTTGATGAGAAACTGTAAGAAATGATCGGGGAATCCCTCCGGAGTGGAGTCATGACGACTGGATCTGAATTATTTGTTTGTATTTGGTGGTTTGTGTTCCAGCTGTCGATCAGCTGTGCGCAGCGTCTCCGCTGCAGCCTGTGCATCTCAACCCAACTTTTTTTGCAGTGTATATATTTAGCACATTTTAACATTATTATATGCTACCTTTAACCTTTGAGTGCTGTTTGGGTCTGGGACCCGTTTTCAGTGTTTACTAAAATAAAATGTATGCAATTTAATTATTTTAACCTGCTTTATTTGGTGGTGGACGTCACATCCTCTAGGGTCCGGGGGCATGGACTCCCAGGGAAAAAAAATTAAATGTTGAAGTTAAATGCATCAATCTGGTGCACTTTGAGCTAGGGCTGCTCAATTAATCGTATTTTAATCGCAATTACGATTTTGGCTTGCAACGATTATGAAAACAACATAATCGAAATAAAACGATTTTTTTTTTTTTAAATAGGTTTTTCAGTTGAATTATACTTAAAGTTCAGGGTAATCAACTGTTAAAAACATACTTTTCAAATTGTTTCTTCAATAAATTGACGTTTTTCAAAGTAAATGGTTAATTGTTTTTAATAATCGTGATATCAATTATTGACCCAAATAATCAAGATTATGATTTTTGCCATAATCGAGCAGCCCTACTTTGAGCCCAACATGAATTTATGGATACAGCTCTCAACACTCAGATGAAAGGGAGCTGTATACTTTTCAATAATCCAAACATCTTTAGAATATGATCACAACAAATCATTTAAACTTGTTTATTCTTATCTTATGTTACCTATAGCATTCTTTCTTTTTATTTATGCATATTTGACTAATCCCTCCCCTTTTAAACTTTTTACTGTCCTATAGTACACATTGGAATGATTTCTTACTTTATTTTTTACAACTTTATTAAATAGATAAAGGTGTGCTCTCTCTTGCTCTCTCGCTCTCTCTCTCTCGCTCCACATTGCTTTTCTTCCCGACTGCAACGCTGTTGTGTGTGTCTGTGAGAGCCTTTCACATGTGTGTATGAGAGATTTTTACCAGTGGCGAGCCTGTCTCTGAGGGCCTAAGATATTCTACAAAATAATATTTAAAAACATTAAAACAATTATATTTTTCTTTATATATTTTTTTAAAATATGTTTTTAGTAATATTTGTCATTAGTTTTACCAAAAATAACTTGATTAAATTGTATTTAAAATAACATTTCCAAAGAAATAAATCCTTTGAATCTGCCTATTCAGTTTCTGTTTGAATGTGAAGGGTTAAATGAAAGAAGTTCCTCTCTGCGAGTCTGTGAAAAAAAAAAAAAATATATAAATATATTTAAATAAAAAAAATTTTTTCGTGACCCACCTATCACATCTCTGCACCCCACCAGTGGGGCGCGTCCCACACTTTGAGAAACGCTGGGTTAGAGTTTGCGTGGAGGACCGCACAGTTAGTATTTTATAAATCGCAAACATTGCGTAGAAACTGGCGTACGCCATTTTTTGAGCGTATATCCCTTTATAAATGAGGCCCCTGGTCTCAGTAAGAGTTGTTTTACGACAAACTGTGACTTTTTTTAAATGGAAATGATTTTTTAAGATTGACAAACATCATATGTTTAATTCGTGGGACAATTCTAACGGGATCGAAAGATAAGTTTTCTCTCTCCATTGACTTCAATACATAATTTTTCCGAAATAAGGTCCCATGGACCGGAAGTAGATGGGCGTGACTTCGCCAGGCTGTCGGCAGGCTAAAGCTCCCCCAGTCACATCTGTGTTTTTGTCTGCTCTAACAAGGATGTCTAAGGGAGTTAAACGTTGTGCTGTTGTTGGTTGCAAGAATCGGGACATGGGCAAGGTACTGCATGCAATGCCATCCCTGGAAAAATACAAGAATCTGTGGCTAGAGTTCATTTTCCAGGGACATGTGCCTGAAGACTCCAGCAGATGTCTGCTTCTATGTTCACAACATTTTACCCCGGACATGTTTATGAACTTAAATCAAGTCAAAGAAGGATATGCCTCCAGATTAAGGCTAAAACCGGGAGCAATACCCACCATCCAGGACCAGGCCAGTGAGGCCACATCCAATTTGGAAGCTGTAAGTTTTTATTTAGCGGTGTTTTTCCTGATAAAGCTATTCTAGCTTGTAGCATGTAGCTTCGCCGTATCAATGTCGCCTCAAACCCAAACAGTAATCGGTTAGGTGTTTATATGTTTTGTAACATTTTATTTTATACGCTCCGCAGTCTTTGCTTTTATTTTAATTATCAGGCATTTGCTAACATGCTCAGACATACTGCCGCAATGGCGATCTGTGTCAAGGCTGTAAAACAACGGCATAGCAGATAATACAAGTATTTATTAGTATTTTGTATCCTCTAAAATCATATAAAGCAAGTTTATAATAACAAACGTAATCTTCTGTAGCTAAGTTCCTTTTTTTGCAGCGTTAAGTACAAGCTTTTATGATTGTAGTCTGTAAGAATGATCAGATATCATCTATCTGTATGCTACCCTACGCTAATGAAACACGCCGTTTTTTGCAGCGTTATATGTAAAAACTTTTGTGTGTATACTTGTTAGCGCACATTAATTTAAATGTGTGTGTGTGTGTGTGTGTGTGTGTGTGTGTGTGTGTGTGTGTGTGTGTGTGTGTGTGTGTGTGTGTGTGTGTGTGTGTGTGTGTGTGTGTGTGTGTGTGTGTGTGTGTGTGTGTGTGTGTGTGGTGTGTGTGTGTGTGTGTGTGTGTGGTGTGTGTGTGTGTGTGTGTGTGTGTGTGTGTGTGTGTGTGTGTGTGTGTGTGTGTGTGTGTGTGTGTGTGTGTGTGTGTGTGTGTGTACGACTGTTAGGATACAACAGTGTGTATGTGTGCAAGGGGGGAGACACACCACGAGTAAAACCGAGCTAAAGCACCGTTGGTTTGTTGTTGTTGTTGTTGACGGGGCCTTACCTCCAGCAACAGGCTAATTAGTGGCTAGCACCATGGCTAGCACTCATTACAGTCACTGTAATCTCAGCCCCTCTAGAACACATCAAATCAAGTTTTATTTATATAGCACATTTATAAACGATTTTTGGTCGAGCCAAAGTGCTGTACATAAAATAAAAATAGCCTACAGTAGAGACACTTTACAGCAAATACAACAGCACAGATTGTTCAGAATATCAGTATGAGAAAAACGACACCCTCTATCCTTAGACCCTCACATCGTACAAGGAAAAACTTCCAGCGAAAACCCACAGTTTAAGGGGGAAAAATGGGAGAAACCTCAGGGAGAGCAACAGAGGAGGGATCCCTCTCCCAGGACGGACAGACGTGCAATAGATGCTGTGTGTAAATCGAAGAGATAATACATTTTACAGCATATAGACCGAATGTTAGGAAATGCACGTGTCTGTAATAAGAAGATGAATCCACGAGGATTCATCTGTATCGAGTCAGAAACACAGCATGCACGTTACGGTTCAAAACTAACTCAGATTGGAAAAGGCTAAGCAAAGAGCTTTGCTAAATAGACAGTTTTTGCCCCCATCTTTTGGGATTTCAGACTATAATTATCCAAATAGTATTTTCTCATCCTGAATACTAAGTTGAGATGATTCTAACTATGTTTTCTTCTTTACAGGCCAGCACCTCACATACTAGCTGCAGATTACCTGTGATGATAGATTCTGCATGTCAGACTGACCCACCGAAGCACCGTACTGTTCGTACACAGCTATCATTTAGCACTCTTCGAGGTTCACGTCGAAGTACAGGTTAGAAGCACGTTTTTAAAATGTTCTTTGGATACACCTTGACATTATGATGTTGTAGCCTTGAATTTGTGTGCTTGTAATTTTTGTAAAGTCTATTTGTTTTATCTTATTTTTTTGTTTTAATGTCAAATGCAATTATCTTACAGCTGTCCAGACTATAGATTCCAGCAACTTTGATGTATGGACATCAAATGTTCTCGAGGCAGCGCCCTCTTTTATATCCACCCCTACAGAGAGACCATCAAAGAGACGTCGTGTGGACCCTGAGGAAGAAGAAGAAGAGGAGGAGGATGGCAGCTTCTCCGTGGTGGCTTCAGACGGGCTGGATGATACCTATGACCCAGCAGAGTCTGTCACAAATGATACAGAAAAAACAGACATGTTGTGAGTTTAAAAAATATCATGTGTGTGAATTTGTTTCTATCTTTAGCGATGTCTTTGACAAACGCTAAAAAAAATTATTTCTTTGTTCAGTAATTACAGCCATATTTTAAGAATGTAATGTTTAGTACTTTTAAAAGCTTTAGATAGTTTGTGGCATTGATCATAGGTATTTGTAGGAATGTGTTGGTGGCATGCACAGGCTGCACTGCTGCATGATTCAGCTTTACACTGGCAGTTAATTCTGCGTGTAGTCCATGGCAATGCTGTCGCAGAGGGTAGGGAAACTAGCATAAACACCTCGTTGTTTGATGACATTGGCCCTTTCTAATTTCTCTAAGGGATCAGGATACAGCCGTTCTGTATTTTATTATGTGAAGCACTAAATGGTTTTAGACAAATATCGACTCTTTGTAGATATCTACTAAACTAAAGCATACAAATAAAGAGAGTAATGTAGGCCTGTTATACTGAGTGATATATATTATACACACTGCTCTGCTTTCTGCACGGACCTCACAGCTGTTCTCACTGTAAACACCGCGTCGCGATGAAAGCAGTTAATAAAATAATATCCATAGCTGCAGAGCATGCATGCAGAGCTGTCATTGGCTGAGATAAGTCCGGCCGTGCGTCACAACTCTTTTAAACATCTCTGTTGCCGGAAATACCCACGGACTGGCGCGGAGGACCCATCAGTGTATCCTCGATTATAGTAGAGCCTCCTCGGTCCTCGAACTGCATTTAGAGAAATGAGATGTCCTTCAACATGACGGGCTGAAATCCATTTCCGGGTCACTACCGGAGGACCGAGGATTCGAGGAGAAAGGGCCATGCAGTTTTAACAACACCACAAACCAGTGAAGAAGGAAATGTATTACCTTAATGAATATGAAGTATCATTTATTTAAATACTTTTAGACTAGATAAAGACACACACACACACAAAGCATCGTAGACCCGTCTACATACTCAGCCGCCCTCTCAGGATACTTCGTCAGTAAAAAGGAGAGGCGTTTGTGTTTGTTTGCTTTCACAGAAAACAACAAAAGCATTTAGATAAGATAAAAGAAAAATAGAGGCAATCTTGATATTAGATCACACCACCCACACTACTTCTGGCACCACACCCTTCTTCGAACTCTGCCTTTACTTTGATCATGCAACCTCTTTTAAAGTCAACTTTAATTTTGACACTGTTTAAACATAAGGTTTTGTGACTGCATCTTTCACGGTTGGGGCGTTATAACAGTGACTGCTCACAGCCAATCAGATATTGAAACATGTGGTTGATTCCTGAAAACCTCTTCTGTGGTAGTTCCGCTACAGGAGGTGTCTCATTTGCAATTATGACACACACACACGCACGCACACATCAATACAAGAGGAAGTAAGGTGCATTGCTCTATAGCAGTGATTCTCAAATGGGGGTACACGGACCCCTGGGGGTACGTTGGAGTACTGCAGGGGGTATGTGAGATTTAAAAAAAAAAAAAAAGGTGAATTAAAAAAATAATCTTAGTAAAATAACTTAAATAGAAAACACAATTGTATATAAAACATTCCTAGAACCACCAAGGGGGTCCTCATATAAACATGTCAAATGTGTGTATTGTATTTTATAGTTTTTCACAATAACATATTACTTAAATTGAAAAACTCCTTGGAAAAATCAGTTTTATAAAAGTGTTATGTTATTTTTTTTCATGCATAAAATGAAAATATCCTTAGTTTGTTGTAATGCATACCACAAAGGAGTTAATACATCACACACTGAGGGAACATCACTATATTGTAATTATTTATATAGGCTTTTTGGATAAAAAATGTTCGGGATCGGTCAGGGGGTACTTGGCTGAGAAAATGTTTCAAAGGGGGTACATTACTGAAAAAACTTTGAGAAGCACTGCTCTATAGGGCCCAAGCTGTGTGATGGGCATAACATCTCTCTTTGTTTTTTTTTACAGTGGTAAAGAACACATTCCCTATAACATCAAGACATACATAGTGTATGAGACCTGCATCATGGAGCTTTTCGAAATGTGTCCTGCGTGCCAGCGAGTGTGTGATGTTCAAACTCGAAGGATGGGTACATTTCTATCAGTGGAGCAGCTGTGCCCTCATTGTCAGTTTTCCAGACTGTGGAATAGCCAGCCTATTGTACGGAGTACTCCAGCTGGGAACCTACAGCTTTCCACTTCAGTGTACGTCAATGGAGAGTCTTTCTTCAAACTTGAAAAGGTAAATAAACAACAGGTATACGTTTTTTTTTTTTTTAATAGTTGAATATGTCAAATAATGTTGTTGAATTATGTAAAGACTTGTTTCTATGAAAATCCATGAATTGCTTTTGCAGAAACCTTTATTTCCATCTATTTTTTTTAAAACCCCCTTTAGGTCTTGAAAGCAATAAACCTACAGATTTTCGAGTACGACACCTTCCTAAGGCATGCCAAAATGTTCATCGAGCCAGCTATCGTGTCAAACTTTAAGACATCACAGGAAATGATGCTTCGGCGGCTCAGTGAAGAGGACAAGATTATACCTGGCGGTGACTTGAGGGCAGACTCTCCTGGTAATTATATTCTAAACATTGGAAAGGTCAAATGCCCCACACTTCAATCAGAAATAGTATTCATCATACAGAGTAATGTAAAGATTGTACAATTATTTTCACAGGCCACTCTGAAAGGTCAGGCAGCCACACCACGATGGACCTCAAGACCAACAATGTTGTTGACATCCCGTTGGTTAAGGTGAGTGGAAAATTAAATATAAACCTTTTTTTAAGTTTAGTTTCACACGGTTTGCACATGTCATGCATTTCAATAAAATGTCTTTATTTATGTATATTTCGTATGTTTTCTGACAGAGCGATGAGGTTGGTGGAAGCTGTCAGATGGAAAAAGAAGGTCTGGAAAGGGGTCTGGCGTTGTTGCAGGAGCATGGTGTGACTCTGGTTTGCATTATCAATCACCGTTGACTAGGGGTGTAACGGTTCACAAACATTTCTGTTCGGTACGTACCTCGGTTTTTAGGTCACGGTTCGGTACAGCAGAAAAAATTATCACAAAACATAAAATATTTTTTTTTAATTTGTTTTATTATTATTAAACTGTGAATAATGTATTCACTCAAATAAACACAAAATATAATAAAATAAACATTAAGGTGCAGCATTTCGATGAACTGAAATAATCTGTATTTGAACTTTACTGTACTAGTAGGCTACTCACAAAACAAACTATTAGTTTTGGGTTTTTAATTATTATTAAACTGTGAATATTCACTCAAATAAATACAAAATATAATACAATAAACATTAAGGTGCAGCATTTCGATGAACTGAAATAATCTGTATTTGAACTGTACTGTAGCCTACTAGTACCTAAGCAGCCAGTTTGACATTATGACTTGCTTGTCATTGTATTTTCATGTTTTTTTTAAAGAAAATTAACTTGCCGAAAGGGCAGATCTGCTGGCACTAACAATGTCTCCTGCTGTGGAGAGAGGTAGCAGATACAGCCAGGTAGCGCTTTGCTAACATGGCAACATAAGGATATTTGGCGTTTGTAATAGCTTTGGCTCGGTCTAAACTTTTTGCGAGTGGTGGAGGCTTAAATGCTAGCGGGAGTTGGGTCTGCACTTCAGTCTTTTTTCTTTTGGTACCGGTGATATTCACGTTCGGGTGATGGCTTTTCAAATGAGTGTGCAAGTTTGATGTATTGCTAGCCAATTTTAGTTGAACAATGCCGCCAAACAGCTTTGGTTCGATCCACCTGTCTTTGTCCGTCACCCTTGTACGTAACTGCGAAACCAAAATGTTCCCAAACCGGAGACTTCAATGATGCTGGTGGATTTTCGAGCTCAACTTTATCTGCGTTCGCCATTTCGCCAGTTCCTCAAATTACTGACTACATTTGAACGCATCCCTGTGACCAGCTCTCATGGCAAGGCAAGGCCATTTTATTTAAATAGCACTTTTCAGCACGTGGCGATTCAAATTGCTTTAAAGATTAAAAGCAAACGACATTTAAGAACAAATACATACTCATAGTATGCCTCTCGTCCAATGAAATGACTTGCTCGCTCTATGACACGTTGAACCCAATGTGAGCAAATTACTCTGAATGCTGCGACGCAGCACCTGAGATTACTTCCAAAAAGTTGTTCACGTTCTCATTTTTTTACGTTTAACGTTATATTCGTTCGGTACACACGTGTACCGAACCGAAGGGCCCGTACCGAAATGATTCGGTACGTGTACCGTTACACCCCTACCGTTGACCCTTAATACAGAAATCCAATGTGTAAACGAAACATTCCTTTTTTTTTAACGTTTGTACAGGTTGCCTTGATGACTTGATGGCCCTCATCTTTGATGAAAACTTTGTGGACCCGGCACCATTCAAAGAGGAGATTTTGAAGGTCACCATCACAGAGGACCTGTGTGCTCAGGAGGAACGGCCTGTCAAGGAGGAGGTCATTGAAAGCTTTGTCACCCAAGTCAAGACAGAGGCTTTCTGAATCCTGCATAAAGGTTTTGGGGCTCAGGAAACTGCAGATCCTGAGTACTACACGGGAAGGAATGATGACTCTGATCCTGCGTCTCAGGAAGCCCTAGCACCTGCTCACAAAACCCTTTAAGGCTGGATACTGGTTACGCCTGCAAGAATTGCTCGGTCAAAAGATCACTGAAACATCTACCTTTTGATGTGTTTAAAGCTACATGTATTCTTTTATGGGTTAAGTGAACCTTTTTTTGTAGATGACCGAGACAAGTTGTAAAGTGGGACAAATGAGGTAAAAACACTGCAGTTTTAACTTCCATTTGGAGTTATGACAATAAAGGCTTTACAGTTTCTATAAAATGTGTCATGATTATTTATGTTTCATAGATTCAGCAGACGCCCATCTACTTCCGGTCCATGGGACCTTATTTCGGAACAATTATGTATTGAAGTTAGGGATGCTCCGATCGATCGGTCACCGATCGAGATCGGCCGATACTCGCTCTCTACCGATCGATCGGTGCTCTCTAAACATGCCGATTGCGAGAGCCGATCGCATTACTTAAAATACATGACACTTTTCTCTGTGCGCGGCAAAACAAGCTCGCCAAAATGGCTTCACCATTCTGGCATTATTTTAAGGTGTCCGAAAAAGACAGTAAAATAGCGGTATGCAACGTGTGTCTGTGTGAAGCAGAAATCCTGCAGCTCCGCCCGCCAGACCAGTGAGCGAGCGAAACACACAAGAGTTAGATCTAACACACTTAGCTATTTGTATCTACCTCTGGAACAAGCTAAATTAGTTATAAATATATTTATTCTTCACTGTCGGGTCACTCATCATTAGTTACTGGATCAGTGAGCTGCATGAGATACTGACAGGCTGTCAGGAGAGGCAGAGAGGGGGAGAGAGGAAAAGAGAGCGCTTCTGCTCATTTCTCCCGTGTTATTAACCAAAGTGAATGTAAACTTGAATAATGTACATCATTTGAATGTAATAATTAAGTTGATTGTTGTTTGTGGAAGCTCCAGTGAATGAGCCCATTAACTGAGTTTTAAACATCACTTTAAATGGAAGATTTAAAGTGATGTTTAAATCTTCCATTTAGGCCCCGCCCACTCGTTCGGATCGGCTATCGGTATCGGCCGATACTGATTCCGGCGATCGGCCCCAAAATTGGCGATCGGAGCATCCCTAATTGAAGTCAATGAAGAGAGAAAGCTTATCTTTCGATCCCGTTTGAATTGTGCCATGAATTACACATATGATGTTTGTCAATCTTAAAAAATCATTTCCATGTCAAAAAAGTCACAGTTTGTCGTAAAACTGTTGAAATATAAGACTATGAAAAATACGCAACTAGAGAGACTACAAATCCCAGAGTCGCGTAAGTGATGTCATAACTGATGTCACAATTGTTTTCGGCGAAGTCCCTCCCCTTCCGGGGGAGCTCCATGGGACCTTATTTCGGAAAAATTATGTATTGAAGTCAATGGAGAGAGAAAGATTATCTTTCGATCCCGTTTGAATTGTACCACAATCATACCAGCAATGGGTCTTGCTCGTTCTTTTGCTTCTTGTCTGATGAAAGGACCAGGAGTGGCTGGATCAAGTTAGCTACCTAGCTATTAGCAAGCACTACAGTCTTAGCCTTGTCATTTTTATTAGCCTTAACATGAAGTAACATCAAGTAACCCAAAATGTTAAACAGTAGAGTAGTAGTCATATTTCGTGAACCCTTTGAAGAGTAGGCCTACTGTCACACCGGGGTGATCATTCTATCATACACCATTTAAGCCCGGGGGAGAAATGCTAACGCTACCACCGGCGATCTGTTCTACTTGCTATCTGCACAAATGGTTGACATTAAACATTAAAAAGATCAGGCAGTTCAGAGAGAATCAAAGGAAGGCAGGCAGCTTTGCATGACGTTCTTCTGGACGTGTTGATAGTGAGGGTAGTCTATAACTTTTTGACAAGACAGTAGTGACGGCCATCTTGGTGACTTGTGTTGTTGTGAGAGTCTGCGAGACCAGAGATGTAGTTCATTAAGCGTTTCACACAAAAAATGTGTTACTTCACAGTTTTACGACACATTCTTATTTTTTTGACTTGCAAAATTGTCTTTTAAATTGACGAACATCATATGTGTATTTCGTTGCATAATTCAATCGGGATCGAAAGATAATCTTTCTCTCCCCATTGACTTCAATAGCCTGGTACTAAGCACACAGACATGTTGTTAAAGTTATCTTATCTTAGCTATCTCTTATATTTAGAAAAAAAATGCTGTCTACGAGGAAAAAACCCAACAGTGGACATTCTTCTTTATTTCCTTTAAATACAGACTTGTTTCCAAATGGTTTTCTCATTGAAGGAAAAAAAGAATTCTACAACCTGGCTCTAAAGATAATGTCTCACAATATAAATCACTGTTTTTATTTGCAGAGGGTGTTTGTTGCGTAGGTAGTAGAAAATGCACACATGGTGATTTCCCCTGACCATGCATTTTTTGTCTTTATTTGAAGATTTTAGAAAATGTATTATTTCTATTTATGTTGAACTATAACTGTGAATGCATGATTAAATACTGAGCAGTTTAAGTTTTTTCTTCACTGTTTGCTAAAATGTGCACTTTAAATAATCAAGCGAGAGCCAGGGTTGCCAATGCCATGTGGTTTTTTGGAATGTTGTAGCATCATGAAGGAAATAATTTATTTCCAGTGGCAACAACAATGGGATGCAGACAGCATTGAAGGTCAATTCTACAACATTCAACCGTCAATTAAATCATGCGGCACTGGCATAGTTTAAACTAAAGGATGACATCAAATTACCAAGACTATAGCTGGGTCATTATCGACTGGCAAGCAGTTTTTTTACACCAAATGTGTACACTGTGGAATACTGGACAGTGTCCAGCATGTCCTGATAAACTCTATTGTATCACCAAACGCTGTGTGGTGGTTGACCGCAAACATCCTGACAAAGCCCTGCCTATCTGCAAGTCACAAGAAAGTGTTATTTCACTGGATGTCCCCCAGGGGTCAGTACTGGGTCCACTCCTATTCATCATATACAGTGGGGCAAAAAAGTATTTAGTCAGCCACCAATTGTGCAAGTTCTCCCACTTAAAAAGATAAGAGAGGCCTGTAATTTTCATCCTAGGTACACTTCAACTATGAGAGACAGAATGGGGGGAAATAATCCAGGAAATCACATTGTAGGATTTTTAATGAATTAATTGGTCAATTCCTCAGTAAAATAAGTATTTGGTCACCTACAAACAAACAAGATTTCTGGCTCTCACAGACCTGTAACTTCTTCTTTAAGAGTCTCCTCTGTCCTCCACTTGTTAACTGTATTAATGGCACATGTTTGAACTCGTTATCAGTATAAAAGACACCTGTCCACAACCTCAAACAGTCACACTCCAAACTCCACTATGGCCAAGACCAAAGAGCTGTCAAAAGACACCAGAAACAAAATTGTAGACCTGCACCAGGCTGGGAAGACTGCATCTGCAATAGGTAAGCAGCTTGGTGTGAAGAAATCAACTGTGAGAGCAATTATTAGAAAATGAAAGACATACAAGAACACTGATAATCTCCCTCGATCTGGGGCTCCACGCAAGATCTCACCCCGTTGGGTCAAAATGATCACAAGAACGGTGAGTAAAAATCCCAGAACCACACGGGGGGACCTAGTCAATGACCTGCAGAGAGCTGGGACCAAAGTAACAAAGGCTACCATCAGTAACACACTACGCCGCCAGGGACTCAAATCCTGCAGTGCTAGACGTGTCCCCCTGCTTAAGCCAGTACATGTCCAGGTCCGTCTGAAGTTTGCTAGAGAGCATTTAGATGATCCAGAAGAGGATTGGGAGAATGTCATATGGTCAGATGAAACCAAAATACAACTTTTTGGTAAAAACTCAACTAGACGTGTTTGGAGGAGAAAGAATGCTGAGTTGCATCCAAAGAACACCATACCTACTGTGAAACATGTGGGTGGAAACATCATGCTTTGGGGCTATTTTTCTGCAAAGGGACCAGGACGACTGATCAGTGTAAAGGAAATAATGAATGGGGCCATGTATCGTGAGATTTTGAGTGACAACCTCCTTCCATCAGCAAGGGCATTGAAGATGAAACGTGGCTGGGTCTTTCAGCATGACAATGATCCCAAACACACCGCCCGGGCAACGAAGGAGTGGCTTCGTAAGAAGCATTTCAAGGTCCTGGAGTGGCCTAGTCAGTCTCCAGATCTCAACCCCATGGAAAATCTTTGGAGGGAGTTGAAAGTCCGTGTTGCCCAGCGACAGCCCCAAAACATCACTGCTCTAGAGGAGATCTGCATGGAGGAATGGGCCAAAATACCAGCAACAGTGTGTGAAAACCTTGTGAAGGCTTACAGAAAACGTTTGACCTCTGTCATTGCCAACAAAGGGTATATAACAAAGTGTTGAGATGAACTTTTGTTATTGACCAAATACTTATTTTCCACCATAATTTGCAAATAAATTCTTTAAAAATCAGACAATGTGATTTTCTGGATTTTCTTTTTCTCATTTTGTCTCTCATAGTTGAGGTATACCTAGAATGAAAATTACAGGCCTCTCTCGTCTTTTTAAGTGGGAGAACTTGCATAATTGGTGGCTGACTAAATACTTTGTTGCCCCACTGTATTCTTCATGACCAAGCAAGTTTGGAATTGAAAAAAAAAGTAAAGTGAAACTTAAGTTTGTCACCCTCACCCTCCGGTCCAAACATATTAATCCACATGAATCATCCTCTACTGATGGTATATAATAATAATAATAATAATAATTTTCATCCTAGGTATACCTCAACTATGAGAGACAAAATGAGAAACAGAAAATCCAGAAAATCACATTGTCTGATTTTTAAAGAATTTATTTGCAAATTATGGTGGAAAATAAGTATTTGGTCAATAACAAAAGTTCATCTCAACACTTTGTTATATACCCTTTGTTGGCAATGACAGAGGTCAAACGTTTTCTGTAAGCCTTCACAAGGTTTTCACACACTGTTGCTGGTATTTTGGCCCATTCCTCCATGCAGATCTCCTCTAGAGCAGTGATGTTTTGGGGCTGTCGCTGGGCAACACGGATTTTCAACTCCCTCCAAAGATTTTCCATGGGGTTGAGATCTGGAGACTGGCTAGGCCACTCCAGGACCTTAAAATGCTTCTTACGAAGCCACTCCTTCGTTGCCCGGGCGGTGTGTTTGGGATCATTGTCATGCTGAAAGACCCAGCCACGTTTAATCTTCAATGCCCTTGCTGATGGAAGGAGGTTGTCACTCAAAATCTCACGATACATGGCCCCATTCATTAT